GGACGGATCTGGCTGAAATTTGGCATACAGATAACTTTTATGATGTAGACGTGTGCTAAGAAAGGATTTTTCGAAATTTTGAATTTATAGGGTTGAAATCGGTTTAATATTTTTTGACCAGGTCGATAACTGCGCTTTTGAAAATGAATTATATTAAATAAAACTATTAAAAAATTATTAAAAAACTATTAAAAACTATTTAAAAACTATTAATTTTATTTTTGGTAGTAAATGACGGGTATTGCATAAATATTAAACAAAAAGATCCCGCAACAGGTGCCAAAACAAATAAGAATGTTAGTTCAAAAAATTATTATGCATATCGATTGATGATTAGACGCGATCAGGACTAAGTTATTTTACGATGCATAAGCTTTGTCAACAATTCATGGTCGAAATATATATAAAGATAGATAGCGAACGATTTCGATACTTCGATTTCGATTCAATCAAAAAAAGCTGCGTGCAAAAGATTCTCAAAACAATTGTTAGATATTGGATATGGGAAAGTTACTACAGATGAAACGGGATGTATAAAATTACCGAACGATTTCTGCACAATCATTTATTCGCAAGATGCTCTCATTGACCAGATATGTTCCAGTGTAAACAGACAATACACAAATCATGAGTGGCTGGCAGAAAGAGCAATTTTAGTAGCAAAAAATGTGGAGGTCAACGAATTGAATCTCAAGATACAAAATTTGTTACCAGAAAACTTGGTGTCATACAAATCTAGATACAGTTTGCGATGCTACTGAAGTTGTAAATTATCCAACAGAGTTTTTAAACTCGTTGGATTTACTAGACATGCCACCGCATAATTTACAATTAATCATTACAATTTACCATCGATAAAATACCTCCTTCAGAGTCATTTAAAGTTGTAATACATGCAGATAAAAAACCACCAGAAGAACATAGAGGCAGGTATAATGCACCAACGGCAAATGAAGTTGCTTTAGTGTTAGTAGATCAACAGTTTGATCGAAGAGACATCATCCTCGAAAACCGAAGTAACTCACTTCACCGTATCAGTGAGATACATCGAGCATACGACGCACTGCAGTATCCTTTAATGTTTTGTTGGGGGGATGATGGGTATGCAATCAATATACCACAACGCGATCCAAAAACCAAGTTACCGCTTAAAAAAAACTGTCTCTGCATCAAGTTTTTACTCATATAGAATAATGGTCAGAGAAGGGGAAGACAACTATTTAGTTAATTATCGTTCTCTTTTCAGTCAATATTTGGTAGATGAATACGCCAAAATTGAAACTGAAAGACTAAATTACATCAAAAACAACCAAGCCAAATTGCGTGCAGATAGTTATATTCATTTAAAAGATGCGATTGGACGACGAGACATAGAAGCTAATCAGTTAGGCCAAATGGTTATACTCCCGTCAACTTTTACTGGTGGGCCAAGGTACATGCACGAAAGAACACAAGATGCTATGACCTACGTTAGACATTACGGTCGTCCTGACCTTTTTATTACTTTTACATGTAATCCTTGCTGGGACGAGATAAAAGAGCTCTTACTTCCTGGTCAAAGATCATATGATCGACATGATATAATTGCAAGAGTGTTTCGGTTCAAAGTCAAAAAGACCATGAACTTATTGACAAAAGGTAAAATATTCGGAGAAGTGAGATGGTATATGTATTCAACAGAATACCAAACTGTAGAGAGGTTCAGGTAGTTGTAAGCTATAACTTATCGAATAGGTTATGATAATAATCATTATCTTAAAAACTAAATTAATATGTATAAAATATTATTTCAAAATTCTTAATTAATTTAAATTTCAATAGATTTAACAAAATTTAATCTTGGCAGGTTACATACATTTATATACTTAAACCCGGCAACGACGGGTAATTCAGCTAGTATATATATATATATTTGTCAATAATTATTATAAAAAATATACTGCAGCAGTCGGTAAATTACAGTCGGTGCCTATGTTACAGAAACCCATATTATGATTTGTGATTACGCTTACGATAACATAACGAGTAGATAAAATATATTGCTCTATATCAGATACTATATTAATGTTAAAATACACGTTTGTCTTTCCTTGGTTAACGGTATAATAGTCGATTAATAACGATTATTAATTTTTATATACTATAGAATCTATAGTATAGATAATATATATCTTAATATCTATAATATCAAAATAATAATTACAAAGTTTTCGAACAAAAATTCATCCGAACATATGCTTTTTTTAAACACTTTTCATTCGAACACATTTTATTCGAACATATCATTTTCGAACACATAACCCGACACCCGCCATCATGCTACACTATGTCCAAAAAAAAAACAAAAACTCGTTGAATATCAAAAAAGATTGTCATTTCTGTTATTTCTTTTACAGCATCATTGAGAACTAAATTTAAATTATGAGCTGAGCAACGTTTAACGAAACTTCATAGACTAATAATAAAATAAATTAAAAGAACATTGAGTAACAACGATGGTCACCTTTTCCTAGAATTTTTTTTTCATATTGAAACTTTGCGGTTACAATAGAATAGTTCTAATTTAGTATCTAAGTATAAAATATAAATGTATACGCTCGGTTTCTGCGATTGCGATAGGCTTTATTATTATTGCCGTTCTTCAATATTATTATATAGTAATATCGCCAACGTCGACGGGCTGGTAAATAAAATAATCTATAAATATAATCGTGGTCAGTCATTCAATTTATTTTATTTTAAAACAATTTAATTTTACAAGAATATTTATTATTTTTAAAGAGAATCGTATTTATAAATTTTGCAATAATAGTGATTTGTTTTTGAATTTACGATTTTTATTCTTGATGGGCCCTCTAGAGTCGTGGGCCTATGACTCATTGCCCATCATGCCACCCTATCGTCATGCCACTGGGAACAGATGTAGTACCTCTGGTCAATCGACATCGATATATTTATATCGATATGTATCTATGACTCACAGAGTTCGTTTTCCCGTGGTAAAATGTTGTCCCGTTGGTAAAATTTTATTTTGTAAGTTTAGCTAACAAAATAAATGTATTATATATTTAATATAAATTAATAATTATAATATTTTATGTATAAATGTATAATAGGAAAACCCAGGGGAAATGCCCCCTCCCCCACCAAATGGATGTCCTTACTCACATGCTTTATGATCCGTGTACATTATTTTTAACAATTATTACTAACATATCTGAAATGATCGTAATTTATATAAGTTTTGTTTTGGTATTATTGGTGCACATATTTTTTTTTTTTTTTTTAGGCGTTCAACGGTTTATAGTAGTTATACTTGAGAACACGTAGGTAATCCAAAGACAGCCGGGCCAAAGTACCATCAGAGAACTTTTTAAAACAATTTAAAAATGTTGACTTTTCGAATAATTGAAGTACCTTTTCCTCCCATTTCTCCGATCACATTACACGACACACGACTTATCTTTACACCCAAGACCCAACATATTTTTCACTTAAACTGAGCTTTAATATATTATCCTTTGTATTTCTACGGATATCCTATAGTGTAGTATTACGTAATAAATAATACAGTAGCAGTGCAGAAAGTTTTTTCAAAAAATAAAATAAATAAATTAACTTGACCTTATTAAAGACTTACATAAATCTAATAATAATTGAAATTGACAACTGATTCATTTACACGATTTACTGATTCATATATTTTTCTGCGGTAAAACTTCTAATAAAATAATGATATTTTAATTAAATGTATTCAATGATTAGGAGCATATTAAAGGGCGTGAAAAAGAAGCAGATATTCCACCGACCACTTAGTAAGAGTAGAATTTTATTTAAGGGCGGCAAAAATATTTTGAATAATATCTCAAAAATTTAGAATGGTACCTACATAGAAAAAAAGTTGAAAACTTTAATATATTTAAAAGTTTATATCTTTATGTATATTATTAAGAGAAAGAGTTATTAGTATATAGTAAAATTCGTTTGAAATGACGCTTAATACAAATAATATGAATTTTTATTAGTGACCACACTATCGTCATTTGGTAGATAAATTTTGTATTTATTTGAATAATATCAGTTCATTTAAAATCTCTTCTGGGAAGCCATGTTTCAATAAAATTGTATATTTAATTTAATAATTTAAATAAATTAAATATTCTCTATTTATATTTTATGTAAAAAAGAACAATTTATAACAATTATAATTAAAAGTGGATACGATGACAAACATTATTTTATTTTTATGTATTCATATACATATACATATATATATAGCTGATACGAGCAATTACTAATTCGAAATAGAATTATTTTGTTGCAAGATTTTTTTTTTTATGTAGTTTATATATTTTTACAAAACTAGATTAACTAAACATCATTATTTTGAATCAAGTGTATGCATAATATAATTGGGAATATAAAAGTAAATATGCAACATTTTAAAACTCAATTTGATTTAACATTTTATTGTATCTTCATCGCTATGCGCGAGTGTTTATATATTTTCAAAACAAAAAAATATCATTAAAATTGGGTGATTAAAATAAAAATAAATACTAATTTACAATAATAAATATTTAGTATATAAATATATATATATATATATATATACTCGTATATAATATATATAGGATAGGATTAATACGATAATAAATATATAATATAAATATATATATATATATATATATATAGGAATAAAAGAATATGTGCAAATTAATAATAAATAAAACATATTATTTGGAACGTGGGTCTATTTTGTATCATGCGTATAACGCATATCTAAAAAATAAAAAATAAAACACTAATAATATAAACAGAAATGCTTTAACATAAAAATACATAAGTATAAATAGCGTACATATTTTTCATACGAGTGAATACAAATTCACTGTGAAGTTGATTCAACATCGAAATATATTAATCAATACACGATATGATGATAAATTAATTTTAAATCTCTGCAGTATAAATTCATATTTATACATTGTATAAAACCGATAATATTGTATTCTATATAATATATAAAGTATAAATACATAATAATAATTTATATATTCGCTATGATAGCTACAAGTAAAATTAACAAGAAGACGAGTAATAAATAATGATGATAAATTATGCAAGATCACAGGCTATATGGATATTGAAGTAAATATTCGATCAGTTCGTTTGGTAGTGATGTAGGAGTGATAGTGATCAGACGCTTGTGCCGGTTGATCACCAGCCGAGATGTGTGTTTAAGTGACGGGAACCCAGTGGCGTCGGTCTTGATCATTGGTCGACAGAGGTTCATCCACGAGAAAAATTGGCCGCACTGATCGATCCACACAGGGTACACGATCATCTGGCGGGCAGCTTCGATCCGAGACAGCCGCACGTAATAGTCGATCAGTTCGATTGGGCATCGGAACTTGGGCACGCGGAGCGCGCCGGCCCGCCGTGGCATCGAGTCCAGCCCAAACAAGCCGTCCGCGTAAGAGAACCGCACGCTCATCAGTCGATTGTCACCGCGGCGGCCCGTTTGCACGTCCATCGTGAACAGGTGCCCGAAGTGCTTGGAGTCACGTACGCAGAACCGGCCAGCCGGCATGTTGGCTAATGCACCGGCCGCACTGACCCGAGCGTCTGCACCTTCGTAGTACCAGCCGGACGTGCGCAGCCGATCCACCGCAGTAGATAACACTCGCAGATCGCGCGCACTTACCGCGTCCGGCCCACCAACCAAGATATCCGAGACAGGCGCTTTCACTGCGGTTACGGCAGGAACAGTGATGCTGGCCGTGACTGCGGCCGCCGCCGCCATAGACGACCTGCACCGTGTTCCAGCAGACGACAGCTGCTGCTGCTGCTTGATACGTCTGCACGATACCACGCGACCGCCGGCCAACGTTAGCTTGGACCGTTCCCGAGACAGCGCGTGATTAATGTGCATCTGGTACAGAACCAGGTTGCGTTGTTCGCACGCCCACCTATCCCACAGCCTGATCCAGCACGCCTGCAATCGGAGTGAGTTGTCTGTGTCCTGGAGAACGACGGGCGGTACCACCGCATTATGGTCGCTGTCCTGTCGCTCCGTTTCCCAACACGAAGTGTTTAACATGCTCCGGCCATGGCCCGTATTACACAGCCGACGTCAATATTTCACGTTTGCTGCCACGGCGCTCGGCCGTGGGTCAGCCGTGGTGGTGTATAATTGTACGGTCGTTGTCGCCACTGAAAAAACAACATCGGCAACACATCAGTAAAATATTATAAGTATATATATGATTAACATTATTCTATGTACCGTACGCACAAGTATGAGTTTAATCTATGAAATTTAAATTTAAATAGTGGTATACGTAAAACGGAAAAGATCCGTATTTCTTTTTATATTTTACCATGCGATGGTCAAAATTCTAAAATATTATTAAAAAATTTATTTGGGGAGGAGTAAGTATTATAATCCAAATAAATTACATAAAACAAACTTTTCGGTTAGTTTGGGCAAGGAGGTAAAAATCGTTAGAAAGGACCCTGTTATTTACTATCGCTATTAGTTTGTAAGTACTATTTATATATAAAACGTTTGATAGTATTACAAGCTATATATAATTGATAATGAATATAGTTTGATCGTGTCGATTCGATCGTTAAGCTAATAAAATATAATGATGATAACAATATCATATTATACAACAATACTATTACGGTTCGTGGAGAACATGGTTTGTAACGGGCAGACACATGAGATATAATATCGGTCGGTTGGTTGTACACAAGTTAAAGTGCGACGACAGGTTCTTGTTTATTCTTTATTCTTTGTTTATGACATGTTAACACGAGTATCGAGTACTTAAAGCAGTGGTTCCCAAACTTTTTTCCGCGGTGCATTTTTTTGGACTCAATTTAGCCACGTTGCCCTGCTGTGAATAACATGAAAGACAAAACAAAAAAAATACTCATTGATAACTAATTTAATTAATTTTATTAAAATTAACTTCATTATAAATTAATACATTTTTAAACCTAAAAATTAAATAAATAAAATTATTGTTATCATTATTATAATTATTACATAAAAATATTATAAGGTTAAAATTAGAATGTCCAAATATACAATAGAAAATATTTCATTATTTGATATAAAGTTTTTACAAAAACAATAAGGAAAAATATTTTAAACATTTTAAACTATTTGTTATAACCCGTAGACCATGGTGCCCTTAGAAAGTGCTCGCGGTGTCCCTAGGGCACCGCGGTGCATAGCTTGGGAACCGCTGACTTAGAGTATTATGAATTATGATAAAGGTAAACGAATTTAAATTTCACATCGCTCGAACCCAAACCAGTTTCATTTTGTTAATATTTTGGTCGATTAAAATGTAATCAAGGTGCAAAATAACCATCTCAGAAAATATGACTAATTATTTCGGAACCTTATGCATTCAAATAAAACGTAGATTGAATGTGAAGAGCGTTTAAAACTTTAATTCTCGTGGTCTAAAGTACTACCGTATATATTCGTGAATCATAAAAACAAATTACCAACCATTTCGAAGTCATACTACACACGAGTCCTGGGTATTGATTTCAACACAAAATCGCAAGTTTTTCTGTTGTTACCTTTTTACGACGGTGACGACGAAGCGGGTTAGAGAAATTCGTACAAAATCAAAACTAAAATTTATACAGTGCGTGAGTATCTTATAAAAAATATTTTTATTTTATTAGTGTATTTCACACACAAACCTATGAACGGAATTTATTTGACTGAGATTTTTGCCATGACTTATTCGATTTTTATTCAAACATAACGAGTTATACATTTACACACACTCGGTTAGATAACGTATTTTACGATTATAATTATTATTTATTTACTGAACGACTGCTGCGTTCGGCATATTCAGTTTTGTTGTTATTTTGCTTTCCGGCACAAGTAACGTTTTTGAGAAGACAAAAAAAATGTATTTATTTTTTTTTATTCACTTCCAGCGAAACGTGTTTCGTATTAGATACCGCAGTGGATATTTTTGTACGTGTATTATATATTGTTTTAGACATCACGAATGTCGTGTGTATACAGTGTTACACATAAACATACTTCCTAACCTTCGTCTTGTGCAAATTGAATACACGGCCCTCGGGAAGCCGACGAATACGGAGAAAAGCTGACAGACGTGTACATCAAGCGATTGAATTGGTTTTGTTTAACGCATGTGTTTTCGTGTATGTGTATGTGTGCATATATCTATGTTTAAGTGTGCGAGCGCGCGTACGCGCTCGTATGTTGCACGTTGAACATTTAATGAAAAAAATCGTTTTCAATTTATTTCAATTGTTATTTTTTTTATACACGTATTGCAATATTGGTTGGATGGAAAGAGAAAAGATTTCTCGAAAACGGGTGTGCACGGACTGGTGCGCACACACCTGGATATGCGTGCTCCACCGAGATTATACATCATAAATCTTAAAGGTTGAAAGGATAAAAGGTAAGGGGAGATAATGCTATTTCCCTGATATCCTTCAATAATATATACTAATAAGTGTTTAAGTATATTCAGGAAAATATTTTTTGAAAATATAGAGTTATCATAGATATTTTTCTATTAACATTGTAACGTCCATTATATTCCTATGTCTATAATATATTCTATTTAACTGTATAATTTTCAACATTCGATTTATACTGGAAAAATTTTTTGGAGACACATTTCAACGAGCCAATTAGTATAATAGTAATTTGTATTTCAAGCATGGTTCCGATAAATGTATACATGTGTGAACGTACATTTATTAAGCTCAGTGGTGTAGCCGGGATTTTTAAATGGGAGGGGCTAATCACTTTTTTAGTAAGTACGTAAAGTAAGAGAGGATATGATAATTCACCCTTAACCCCCCCCCCACCATCTATCACCAAGTTTTTAAATGTAATTCAAGCATTTTAGTATAGTTTTAAAAATATTTATTAATATATAATTTATAATAATAATAATAACTTTGGTTTCAGTGTTCAGTCACTTGCTTCACTCTGAAAGCTGTATTCTCTTAGGTGAATTTCTGGCAAATTCAGTTATTATTTCACTTTCATCGAATTGCTATTTTTTATTTATATTAGCCATAGCTAATCCATTCAGTCTGTTTTCTGACATGGTGCTTCTTAAATAATTTTTTAAGCGATTAAGTGCAGAAAACTTCTCTCCGGAGTGGAAGAGGTAACTGGTAACGTGGCGAATAATCGTAAAAGTATTTTAATGTTAGGTTGAAGATTGGTGTAATGAGAGAGTGAATCAACAGCAGAATTCGGTTTTGGAATAGTATCTTGACTTCATTGTTGCCTCCGTATGAACAGCTCAGCTCTGATTGTAGATGAGGTATCATCATGGAGATATTTTAGCAGCTTTAATAATATTTTCATCGTCATGCATATTTAAATTAGCCGAAATAAGTCCTTCAAGTGGCATAACATCAATAAGCTTTTGATTTAAATGAGCATCCATTGATTTTATTAAATAGTCAAGAAAAGGAATAAAAGTAGAACATTTAAAATATATTTCTGGATTTTCAGAAATAAAGTTTTTTCTCTGAGTTTGTCTTTTACATACTTGTGGCATTTTTATTTCAATATTTTATATAATATATAATATTTTATATTCAATATATTAACACTTTTTTCCATATTGACAACGTCATTAAATATTTGATAGTGATTCGCCATAACCTTGCAGATAACCATCAAAAAGATAGTGATATTCATGGTAGAAACTAGAAGTTTTAGTAATCTGTAATATCTATGCCAAAGACAAACAACTGTTATTCATTAATCGTCAAAATTTATTTTATACCAAAGGTTTAAAATACTTAAATAAAAATAATTGTATACTAATTTAGTAGATAGATACACTATACATATAAACACAGCCCATGGGGGGGGACTATAGCCCCCTTAGCCTCCCCTTGGCTACGCCACTGATTAAGCTGTAACTCATTAAAACTAGATTAAGGTCCAATTTAAATCAGGAAAATTTGAAGTTTCTGCTTTTAATATCACTAAAAAAAACTGTTGGACGAAATAGATGTGTCGGAAGTCGTTAACTATTTAAAAGAATCATACACCGTTATGCATCAAATGTTGAATTTATGAATTTAAATTTAAATAATAACCCGAGGTATACCTCCAAGCATTTGATATTACATTCATTCATTTATTACTTATTATACTCGTATTACTATTATAAACTATTTATGCGCAAATAAGAAATTCACTATTTTGTGGTAATAATGTATTTAATGAATCTTTGTGCTACAATTATATTTGACGTAAAAAAATACCTAGCCATCTAGGGTCATTATAAATGTATGTAGAGGCTGTAAAATTTGCTAATCACAAACCTAGATTAAGGGGGGGGGGGAGCCGTGGTCCCGGGCCTACAACGAATATCAAACAGTAGTAGGCCCCTGTTGGATAATAGATTTTTTTCGTTTGTTAACTCTTTTTTTAGCTCGTATAAAAAACAAGTAAAAAATAGTATATAATTTTATGGTTTTGTGTTCAGAGTAATATTTTAGAGGTAATTAATACCGATGATATAATTAAAGGGTTTGCTTCACAAAAAGAAAGAAAAATTTATTTATATAAATAATATTTTTATTTTTTGTACTAAAAAAAGCTAGAAATAAATTTATAAATTAGAATATAATTTTTTTTTTGTCTTTGATGTATATTTGTGTGGATCATCAATATTTTGATTATGATTATGGGCCTCTAAAATTGTTTGGCGCCGGGCTCCAAATTATCATAATCCGGGCTTGGCCAATCATAAGCGACATTGGCGCAAATCCACTTAGTACTCTGGAGGTGCTCAAGTTCCTCCAAAGTTAACTTATCAGTAACCCGTGGGGGGGCTCTGACACTCACACTCCCCATAAATCTCAAATACTCTGCCAAATCTTTAAAACAAATATTAAAATAAACAGAAATAAATTCATGAAAATAAAACTTTACTTATAAAATAATAATAGGTACATTATATAATCAAGAATTTTATTATATAATAGTAGATCAAAACAGCACAAATGCACAATGATCACTAGTATATCACTAGTTATCTGAAAAATAAGTACATAATACATTTTTGTCTCAGTAATATCTAAATATAGACATAAAAGATTTTAAGTAAACGATATCATATAACATTATGATTGATGATAAGTATTATTTACTTTTAGAATATATTGGTGGTGCTAAACACCCTTTTAGGAGAATTTAGCCTATGATAAACGAGCACAGTGAGTTCCAAATTTTTTTATCATATAAAAAAAATGTGGGCCGCTCAAATCTTCTCCACCCGGGCCGAAGTACTCTCAGTCCACCCCTGTGAGTACATGAATTATTTTTTTTATAAATATGAAAAATACACTATCTATGGACTGAAATACTCATAAAGTCGTATGATATCAATTTAATAGATTATCTTTGATTTATCTCATTTAATCGACTTAAAAATACAAATAAGTACATAGAAAAACTTTTTTTTTCAGTACTATGTTTATGTTTATGAGTTTTAAATATACAGATATATTTATTAGGCTTATATAGATATAATAATGCTATACCTTTTCAATACTGGTGAGGAGTTATTAAATAATTGCTTTCGTTTTTTATTTTAATGTTAAAACAAGTCAAAAAAAATGAAATTCATTACAGAGTTCAATAAAGACTATACCAATACCTACACACATAATATTGTGCTAAATACGTTTAACGAGTGTGTTTTGTAATAGAATTAGAATAGATTGTTTTGGTAGAAATAGATATCGGTCGAAATATGATTTGGTGGAAACGGGTATTGGTGGAAGAGGGAAAGGTAAACTTTTGTTGGAAACTTATCCCGCCTAGTGACAGAAAAGTAATACATGA